TGTGTGTGTGTGTGTGTGTGGTATAGTTTGGTCTTTATAGTGTTCTTGTGGATTGTGGAGAGCGTGTTATGATCCACAATAGGCAGTTGCTGTCCATTTGAAACTTAGATACATTATGAAGGTGTGTTTTTACCAAAATGTTATTAACGCACGTGTTTCTTTTAAAGAGGAGATTTTATAGGTGCATAACTGAATTCATTTATCGTTTTAACTTATAAATGTTTTTCAAGTTTTATGTATCACCTTGGCACTTGGTTCGTTTTGCTCAAGATGAGTAATATGTTTCTAAATATTACAGAGAAACACGTAAAACAAAAATTATTTCACATTATTGAAACACTCCATGTTGACCATGCAATTCACTTAGCCTGTCTCACTCAATTTTAATTTATTTTAAATATATTCTTGGCGAATTATCATTTTCTTTGGATACAATAATCTTATGACAAATACTATGTTGAGAAAACTATTTAAAATAATAGAAACGCAAAGAAATTTGTCTTTAATCATGAATTAGCTTTTTTTAGTGTCCTCTGACCAGGTAAGTATTGCAGAAAGACAATTATCTCTTTATATCAGCATCACTCAATAAGTAATAAATATTTATTGACTTTGGCGAATCTTTCAAGAAACAGACAACACTAACATTTAAGTGTGATAAACTAAGAATATTTTTTAAAAAGATACAAATTTATTAAACCGAGACAAAACTTATTTTCAAGATTTACTTTAAACAATAATGTTACGTTTTATTAATCTACATTAACGTGTTTTTTTGTTTTGTTTTAGAATTGAAAATGATAATTAATAACTAATTTTATATCTGGCGTATACTGAAATCAAAATATAGTATTCAAATTTTCAAAGATAGAGAAACTGTAGTAGATTAATTAACATTCACATTTATCTTCCAATTACGAACACAGTTTTATTTGTTTGTTTTGAATTTCGCGCAAAGCTACACGAGGGTTATCTGCGCTAGGCATCTCTAATTTAGCAGTGTAAGACTAGAGGGAAGGCAGCTAGTCATCACCACTCACCGCCAACTCTTGTGCCAACGAATAGACCGTCACGTTATAACATCCCCACGGCTGAAAGGGCGAGCATGTTTGGTGTGACGGGGATTCGAACCCGCGACCCTAACCACCTGGCCTACACAGTTTGGAGGAGTTCTGTTTACTGCACATAAACCACTGGTTGAAACAGTTTGCAATAAGTCTAG